AAATGGAACATATTCTCCAATATTGTGTGTTTCAGGCATAAATCATATATGGGAATTACTCTGGTGTGATTATAATGTCTAACATTCGTACAATTGTACTTTTTGTATCCGAACAATTAAAGAATTAAATTGATTATGAAGCATTAAATTATTGTTTTCTATAAATTAATTACGCGTAACATTTACTTAAGAGTCGCTTTAAACTTAAAATAATAATTTTAAAATATAATTCGTTAGTTCGTAATGTTAAAAGTAATATTCTCTTAAATATGTTAATAAAAATGTAAATCTTACTTATAAATTTCGTAATGCCACAGAAAATTACTCGTAAAATTATTTATCTCGTACGATTTGGTAAGATTTTAACGTAAAAATGCCGAACAGTTATAAAAATTTAATTATTCTTGATTAAGAATGACAAGATATTTTGAAACAAAAAAAAATTGAAGTTTATTGGAAAATGAAAATTTCCAGTCCGTATGTTACGTGTGAAAATTAACACTCTGTTAATTTAATTATACATAGAAGTCAATTTAAAATTAATATATGATTAACTTTGTTAGATCTAAAAGTCGTCTACCTCACTTAACTTCACGGAGTTAGATATATGAAAGTCAAGGCCAGATATGGAAAGGTTAGGGACAGGAGGTCCCGATTAACTATATACGAACTTCCCATGTAAACCGAAAGTCATGTTACAGTATTTCAATTCAAAATTTCCCCTTAAAGGAGTTAGATTGATGACCGGCACGACTCTATTGTTAAAGGAAAAGTATGATTTACAGGGGCAAGACACTGCCAATTTGATGTGAAGAACATATATTTTAAAAATATGATTAAAGATTGCAGCCCGGCATTGTGACTATGTGACAATAAATAATTGCCCGGTTTTTTTGTCATGAACATTAATTAGATTTAACTAAACTTTTTAGCCAGTTATAATAATAATAGTATGTTTCTAAATAAATTCTACGCTGTCGTATCCTAGAATTTGTATTTACAGTCAAACCGGCCAGCGACAACAACATAAAAAATCCAGTAAAGAGTTGCTTAACTTTTCCGGCAATATTTGATGGCTCCATCTGTTACGATATTTTATTTTAAATTTTAAAGTCATTTGTGCAATGTAGTGGTGTATTGCTGTTTATTGATTAACTCATTATTAAACAATTTAAATTAACAAAAACTAAGTGCAGGTAAAGGAAAAAGTAAAAATTCAAAATAATAATATGCAAAGATCTTCAGTCAGGCGTGGAAGACCTCCACTGTCCAGTACGAGGACAGAGAATAAACAAGCTCAACTAAGTACTCCAAGCTCCAAGCTCATTACGGATTACGGAACTCAATCGAAAGAGACCCTCTCCTTGTGAGACTCCACTAAACTAAAATATGTTACGTAGTAATTATTACTATTAAATATGAAAAAATAGCAAAAATAAACCTAATTTATAATTAATTAATTAGTCTGATTATTAAAGAGAAATTCATTTCAGAAATAAATTTGTATAATCGTTTCCTGGCAGAAACAGGATATTGTTAAATGTAGCAACATCCGATTTTTTTTCCTTTAAAACAAATAAATAGCCTTTCCTAAGTAGCAGTCACACAATTTGAAGTTAAACTCGGTTTGTAATTGTTCGATCTTACAACATTTTGTGGAATTCGAATAGAAAACGAAAGATGAAAGTGTACTTGATTGCAGCATTTTCATTCCTGGCTGTATTTGGAGTTGTACAATCATTTACTCCGGAAGAATTCGAAGATGCTGTGTGCTGTATGGCTGCGTTTTTTTTTCTCTCTCTCTTTTTTATTGCTGTAAGTATTAACTTTATAATTTACTTTGATTTAAATTTGTTTTCTTTTCAGCTATACCTGAGAAATATCTACTCAGATTCCTAAATTGCACTGTTAGTCGTGCCCCAGAAATCTTTCAAAAGGTATGCTTATTTTCTAATTCTGAATTGTGATTTGGTTTATATTAATTCACGAATTTTTAAACGAATGTTTTTATTTATAAGAAAACCGATAACTTATATGAATGCGTAGATAGATTTTATGAAGTCGATGGCAAATTGGATGCTATTTTAACGGTTGTTTGTGGCAATACTGTACATGCACAGAAGGATGTAAGCACTTACTTTGTATTTTTCAGACAGATATATTCTAAATATTAATAAATATTAAGATTTCGTAGCAATTTTTGTTAATTTATAGACAATTTACGATAAAAATGCATTAGATCTTTTAAAGTGAACTCGCCTTTAATACAAAATCTAAAATGAATTTTGTTCCATTAGATTGAAGAATGTTTGCAGGAAAAAGGCAAGGTAATATATTATGCGTGTTATTTTTATATATTTAAATTTTTACTATAATTAATTTATACATAAATATATATATTTCGATTAGGATCTAGTCGACCTAGATCTACAAGATCAGTCAGCAATGAAACAAGCTGCCAAATATTGTGTGATTCACGCATAAAACATATATCGGAATTACTCTGGTGTGATTATAATGTCTAACATTCATACAATTTATTGTACTTTTTTGTATCCGAACAGTTAAAAAAATTAAATTGATTATGAAGCATTAAATTATTGTTTTCTATAAATTAATTACGCGTAACATTTACTTAAGAGTCGCTTTAAACTTAAAATAATAATTTTAAAATATAATTCGTTAGTTCGTAATGTTAAAAGTAATATTCTCTTAAATATGTTAATAAAAATGTAAATCTTACTTATAAATTTCGTAATGCCACAGAAAATTACTCGTAAAATTATTTATCTCGTACGATTTGGTAAGATTTTAACGTAAAAATGCCAAACAGTTATAAAAATTTAATTATTCTTGATTAAGAATGACAAGATATTTTGAAACAAAAAAAAATTGAAGTTTATTGGAAAATGAAAATTTCCAGTCCGTATGTTACGTGTGAAAATTAACACTCTGTTAATTTAATTATACATAGAAGTCAATTTAAAATTAATATATGATTAACTTTGTTAGATCTAAAAGTCGTCTACCTCACTTAACTTCACGGAGTTAGATATATGAAAGTCAAGGCCAGATATGGAAAGGTTAGGGACAGGAGGTCCCGATTAACTATATACGAACTTCCCATGTAAACCGAAAGTCATGTTACAGTATTTCAATTCAAAATTTCCCCTTAAAGGAGTTAGATTGATGACCGGCACGACTCTATTGTTAAAGGAAAAGTATGATTTACAGGGGCAAGACACTGCCAATTTGATGTGAAGAACATATATTTTAAAAATATGATTAAAGATTGCAGCCCGGCATTGTGACTATGTGACAATAAATAATTGCCCGGTTTTTTTGTCATGAACATTAATTAGATTTAACTAAACTTTTTAGCCAGTTATAATAATAATAATATGTTTCTAAATAAATTCTACGCTGTCGTATCC